ACCAGTTTGGCAATGTTGCGTTTTATGATTTCCCCTCTCTAATCTTTGCTTCACAGCCATGCTAAATAATTATAGAAACGCCTATTCTGAACTAAATCTTTAGTTTTTTCATTTTCAGAGAAGATTTAGCTAGGCAGGATCAGCATGAAGGATGAGAAAAAATGAAAGACCCTCTTAATCTGAACAGCTTGGTTCCTTCCCATCTGCAGGTGAACAGGGATATTGTGTCAGGCCTGAAATATGTTCAGCACACCTACCGCACTGGAGTGAAAGGTAAGGGAACCCACATTTCCACACTGTCCCAAACTGCTTCTCATTGATACTTTAACTTCTGGTTATTAGCAATTTTTAGCTATAGACTCAGATGAGAATATGATAAAAGCTGTGGATGCTGGCCCTAGGAAAAGGCACAAATACACCTCTGCTCTAGACATTGACAAGTCCAGGGCTCAGGGGACCTCATTTAGACTGCATCAGCCGCTGACCTTCAGCAATCAGCTTTTTGGATTCAACATTATCACTCATAAAGAAGAAGAGTCACCAAGATAGGTTTGAAGGAAATAAAGTATATAAAAATACTCTACAAAGTAAGAAGAAGAAAAAAAAAAAAACAGTCCACAGGTACAAAGACCAAGTGTCAGAGAAACCCAAGAAAGAACAAACTTGCCCGGTGGTGTGTGTATTTGGAGTGGGAGTAGGTGGGGTGGCATTGGAGGGAAGGGGTAGGCAATGCTCAGTTTTCTAACAAAGAAATAGAAAAAAAAAAATACTTTCTAGGATTGAAACAACCTGTCTAATTAAAATAACATGACAATATTACTTAATCTGCAATTCTTCTTGACATACCTTGGGAACCTGCCTTCAATTTTCTTTCATTAATATGGGCAGAGAGAAATGAGAGGCAGGAAGGTGATGGAGGCACTTTACAGTTCCTTTCTACCTGAGGGTCTGTCCTCTCCAGAGGCGAGAAACAGCAAAGCATGTCTCAGTTTCCACCAAATTAATAAGCAAGATAGGGGAGAAATTATCTGATAAATTTGTATGACATAGAGGACCAGTCAATTTCTCAAATCCCAGAGAAGACCATTGACCTGAAAGATATTGATTGGCCTTTCCAATACCTAGTCTCATGAAAAAAAAAAAGTTTAATTTCCTATTTTCCTTTGGGCACAAAGCCCATAAGATCTCATTTCAACAAAAGGACAGTGACATGTCTGCAGCTGTATTTTCAAACTTATTAACAACACTTAGCCAACTATATGCCACCTATCTGCCTATGTATGCTTTTCAATGCCCAACTATTCTTAATATATATTCCAGTTCACCTGCAAATCAACTTGATTGGCTATTTTCGCCATTTGTCCTAGTTTTTCACTTTTTTTTTTTTTTACCAACTTACTGCTGTTCTTGTTCCATCCAATTATTCTATCCATGAATTCTGATCACCATCTGTTACTTTATCTCCCCCAACTGATATGCTCATAGAATGATAGTTTGTAGATAGAAGATCCTCAAAGTCCATCATACACACAAAGAAATGGAGGCTCAAAAATGACTTAGGCCATTGCAGGACTGAGATCAGAACTGCGGTCTCAATTTGTCTGAGTTGTTTAAATGGTGTAGTCTGCTATATCTCCATTAAAAAAAAAAAAAACAAAAAACAGGCTTAATCCCCATTGATTTAGGGCACTGGTTCCCCAACTTTACTTCAGAATCAACTGTGTAGTTTTTTAAAAACACTGAGCCTTGGGACCCACAGAAGGTTACTGAACCATAGCCTTTGGAAGTAGGACAAAGGAAACTATTATTAAAAGGCACTCCAACCTAAACAATGTTTAAAGAATCATTTTTTAAAAAAGATGCCTCAGGGCCAGGTCCGGTGGCTCACACCTGTAATCCCAGAACTTTGGGAAGCCAAGGCAGGCAGATCACCTGAGGTTGGGAGTTCGAGACCAGCCTGACCAACATGGAGAAACTCCATCCCTACTGGAAATACAAAATTAGCCAAGCATGGCGGTGCATGCCTGTAATGCCAGCTACTCGGGAGGTTGAGGCAGGAGAATCGCTTGAACCCGGGAGGCGGAGGTTGCGGTGAGCCGAGATTGTGCCTCTGCACTCCAGCCTAGACAACAGGAGCAAAACTCCGTCTTAAAAAATTAATAATAAAAAAATTTTAAAAAGAGATGCCTCAGGTAAATCTCATGTTTATTTAGGCTTGGAAACTATTGCTCTTGGCTTGAATCACTGTAGGCTGTACTCCAGATTCTCCAGTTTGCAGTGTGTGTTTTTCCTCTGTCAGGCTCTTACCCTAATGAACTCTTCTTTCTTCCTAGTGGATAAAGCAACATTTATGGTTGGCAGCTATGGGCCTCGGCCCGAAGAGTATGAGTTCCTCACTCCAGTTGAGGAGGCTCCCAAGGGCATGCTGGCCCGAGGCACGTACCACAACAAGTCCTTCTTCACCGACGATGACAAGCACGACCACCTCAGCTGGGAGTGGAACCTGTCGATTAAGAAGGAGTGGACAGAATGAATGCATCCACCCATCCCTTTCCCCCCCCTTGCCATCTGGAAGAATCCTCTCAGGCGTGTTCAGCACCCTGTCCCTCCTCCCTGTCCACAGCTGGGTCCCACTTCAACACTGCCCACATTTCCTTACTGATGCATCTTTTCCCACCCTGTCTCTCAATGTGGTCCCTAGCACAAGAGGCATAAAACCGGGCTTTCACCCTGCCTCCTCCCTCCGATCCTCCGTCAGGGCCAGATCTTCCACGTCTCCATCTCAATACACAATCATTTAATATTGCCCTCTCTTATCCCATTCGAGCAACTAGAGGCCAGGAAATGGGCAAACTATCACTAACAGGTCTTTGACTCAGGTTCCAGTAGTTCATTCTAATGCCTAGATTCTTTTGCGGTTGTCGCTGGCCCAATGAGTCGCTAGTCACATCCCCTGCCAGATGGAGTACTTCTTTTGTGAGAGACACTGTAAACAACACAAGAGAATAAGAATAAAACAATAACTGCATGTGTTCTGACTGAGACCTTCATTTCCCTGCTTTCTTCCTTTGAACAAATATGATAACTGGATGGTTCACATTCGTGAGTTCCCCAAGAGGGGATGGGGATGAGGAAAACACACAGGAGGAGATATTTACATCATTGGGAACAAATTGGTCCCATATTACACTGTAATAGGTAATGTGCATTCAGAATACCGCCAGTGGGAAATCTGCATTTTACTTATTTAGTTGGTTATTTTTAATTTCAACTTTTATGTTAGATATAGAGGGTACATGTGCAGGTTCGTTACATGGGTATATTGCACCCAAGTAGTGAACCTAGTCCTAAATAGGTAGTTTTTCAAACCATGCCCCACTCCCTCCCTCACCCCTCAGGTAGTCCACAGCATCTGCTGTTTCCACGTTCATGTCTATGTGTGCTCAGCGTTTAGCTCCCACTTATAAGTGAGAACATATGGAAGTGGGTTTTCTGTTTCTGCATTGCTTTGCTTAGAATTATGGCCTCCAGCTTCATCCATATTGCTGCAAAGGACATGATTTTACTTTTTTATTATGACCATATAGTATATCATGGTATATATGCACCATATTTTTTATCTAATCCACCACTGGATTAGATATTGATTCCATGTCTTTACTATTGTGAATGGCACAACAATGAACATACATGTGCATGTCTTTTTGGTATAACAATCTACTTTCCTTTGGATATATACATAGGAATGGGATTCCTGAATCAAATGGTAGCTCTGTTTTAAGTTTTTTGAGAAATCTTCAAACTGGTCACTCTCCATATGTTAGTAAAATTATTATGCCTTGGAATGCTAACGTTACTCCTAAAAATTGGAGTACTCTCCTTGGCCTTAGTATAGCGATAAAAGGTATGGATGCCCTCATTACTTAGAGTTGCTTTCCACAGTGACTGAACTACTTAACTGCTTAAGTTACATTCCCATGAATAGCGTATAAGCATTCCCTTTTCTCTGCAGTCTCATCAGTGTCTGTTGTTTTCTGATTTTTTAATAATGGCCATTCTGACTAGCGTGAGATTGTATTTCATTGTAGCTTTGATTTGCATTTCTCTGAAAATTAGTAACATTGAGAATCATTTTTTGTGTGTGTTTATTGGCCTCTTGTGTATCTTCTTTTGAGAAGTATCTGTTTATGTTCTTTGCCCATTTTCTAATGGGGTTGTTTTTTGCTTCTTGATTTGTTTAAATTTCTTATGGATTCTGAATATTAGACCTTTGTTGGATGCATAGTTTGCATATATTTTCTCCCATTCTGTAGACGTCTGTTTACTCTATCAATAGTTCCTTTTGCTCTGCAGAAACTCTTTAATTAGGTCTCACTTGTCAACTTTTGTTTTTGTTGCAATTGCTTTTGACGACTTAGCCAAAAATTACTTGTCAAGATTGATGTCGAAAAGAGTATTTCCTAGGTTTTCCTCTAGGACTTTTATGGTTTGAGGTCTTGAATCTTTAATTCATCTTGAGTTAATTTTTTCATATAGTGAAAGATAAGGGTCCAGTTTCATTCTTCTGCATATGGCTAGCCAGCTATCACAGCACCATTTATTGAGTAAGAAGTCCTTTCCCCATTGATTGGTTTTGTTAACTTTGTCAAAGATCAGATGGTTGTAGGTATATGACTTTATTTCTGGGTTCTCTATTCTGTTCCATTGGTCTATGTGTTTGCTTTTGTACCAGTACCATGCTATTTTGGTTACTGTAGCCTTGTAGTATAGTTTGAAGTTGGGTAATGTGATGCCTCTGGCTTTGTTCTTTTTGATTAGGATTGCTTTAGCTAGTCAGACTTTCTTTTGGTTTCATATAAATTTTAGAATAGTTTTCTTTTCTAATTCTGTGAAGGATGACATTGGTAGTTAGATAGGAATAGCACTGAATCTATAAATTTCTTTGGGCAGTATGGCCATTTTGAAGATACTGATTCTTCCTACCCATGAGCATGGAATGTTTTTCCATTTGTGTCAGCTCTGATTTCTTTTAAAAGTGTCTTGTAGTTCTCCTTGAAGAGATATTTTACCTGCTTGGTCATCTGTATTCCTAGGCATTTCATTTTATTTGTGGCTATTGTAAATGAAATTGTGTTCTTTATTTTACTCTCAGCCTGGACATTATTGGTATACAGAAATGTCACCGAGTTTTGTACATTTATATTTTTCCTGATACCTTACTGAAATCATTCATCAGTTCCAGTAGCCTTTTGACAGGGTCTTTAGAGCCTTCCAGGCATACAATCATATTGTCAACAAGGAGAAATAGTTTGACTTTTTATTTTCCTGTTTAGATGCCTTTTATGTCTTCCTCTTGCCGAATTGCTCTGGCTAGGACTTCCTAATTTCTTTTATAATATTTTCACATGAAAATTCTCCTAAGCTAAAGACTACATATCCCAATGCCTGTGGAAAATCTCATCTTGGACTTCCTCAGACACTTGTGAGCAAAATCAAACTTTATCTATTTCTTCTGCTTAAGACTTTTCAGGGGTTCTCATCACCTACAGAATAAAGTTGATGCTCCCGTGCTTAGCGTATCATATAAGGCCTGCTGTGAGCTGGTCCCACATGCCTTTCTGCCCACATGTATCACTTCCTTCCTTTTCATCATTCTCAATTACTAGTAATTCTGTCACACATTATATTTGCATCTCTATGCTTTGGTTCTTTACATGAAACTTCCTTTCTACCTTGTGTTTTCTGGCAAAATCTTACTTACCCAGGACTCTGCTTGGGCATCCTCCACAGGAGGAACACTTTCATTGAAACCTAGCATTGTCCCGAATACCCTTAATCTGTACTGTCATAGCACCCTATGAATTTTTCTATATCACTTTCCATCTTATGTTTAAATAATCTTTTTACTTGCCTATCTCTCCCACTGACAATCTAAGCTGGCAGAGGCTGGATCAGATCATAATTATCTTTCTATCCCTAGTGCTAGGATCAATACCTGGCATTGAATATTTACATTTTTTATTTAAATAAACTGACCTGACTTTCTTCTGGTTGGTTATGTTCTGAGTCCCGATTACTAAACTTGGTCTTTTATCTCAGAAGTTGAAGGCTCTCCGGGAGCCAGCTGCAAAGTTCCCAAAGCCCTAACAACCTCACAGCCAATCAGCTACAGAGCGGGCTGCCCTAAGTCGGCCTCCCAAACACAAAGTCCAGGGTTGGAGTAGGAGCAGGAGAGGGGCAATGGAAGCTGCCCTGTCCAGATTCATGTTCTTCCTATTTCTCCTCACGTGTGACCTGACTGCAGAAGCTGCTGCAGAAGTTGAGAAATCCGCAGGTAAAAGAAAAATGTAGTTGGGTGGCAATAGTGTGAAAGTGTTATTAGGAGAAGGAAAAGGAGCATCATGGTGGTTCTCTGGGTACTTTTCCTCCACACCTAGAAAGCTTTCCAGGAAATCCTGGATACGATGCATTTTGTCTAGCGGAGAGCAGGAAAGTCTGGCAGTATCCTTCAGAGACAGACCATCAGTAGGGTCACCTTCCATATGTTAGTAAAAATATTATACTTTGGCATGCTAACAGTACTCCTAGAAATTGTACTTTTCTTAGCCTTAGTATAGAGATAAAAGGTATAGATGCTCTCATTATTTAGAGCTGCTTCTTCTCACCTCAGTACCCTGACATCTTCTACTTCTCTCTCTAGATGGTCCTGGTGCTGCCCAGGAACCCACGTGGCTCGCAGATGTCCCAGCTGCCATGGAATTCATTGCTGCCACTGAGGTGGCTGTCATAGGCTTCTTCCAGGTTAGTTCAGATACCCTACTTGCAACTCCCCCAAGAGCCAGAAATGTTCTACCTCAAGGGAACCACAGCAGCCACCTGCTGGCAGATGACACTGCATTAGAAGTGGGGGCAAAGGGAGACAGCCACAGTTTGCTTTCATCTTGTCCATTGGGACCTCTTACTTTTAAGACATTCCCAGTCTCTAAATTATATCTTTCTCACACTTACTTCTTTCTGAGCCTGTGGGCTGCATCTCCTCATCTATGGATGCGTTGGAGCTGCAGAAAGTCAGGATCTGCAGAAAGAATGCCTTCATGGAACCCTACCATTGTCCTAAACGCATTTGGTCTGTACTCTCATAGCACCCTATGAATAGGCAGGGGCCAGAGTGAATCCAATTTATATCATCCAGCAACACTGTTTACAGGATTCTGAAGCTCCTGGACATTAGTCAGTGCACAGCCTTTTAAGGCCTTTCCCCCAGATAATGTGGACTCTTATTCTTCTTTCTCTTTGCCTTGTCTGAAATGTTGGAAAAGGATGGCATTTTGTATATTCAAGGTGTTAACCTCCACCTTCCAGATTGGCTGCTTGGTTAATAAAGGCAGCCATAAATGAGACTCCCTCATTCCAGCATTTTCATCTTTCTCTGGTGGTAGCATCTGGAAATCGTCACAGCTGATTAAGTCCCTACTCTCTCATAGCAGACCTTCTTGTCTGTTTCCATTCACCAATTACAACTCCTGATTACCCTGTCGGTTCTGTGTACACAGCTGGAAATCACTGCAATGAGATGCAAGTGGGGGAGAAAGACAGGGAGTACATTTTTCAGGAATGAGAAATCTGAGCTGTAGACAAAAACACCCTCAGAAAGACAGGGAAGGGGCAAGAGCATGGACCTGGAGAAGTGTGCAATAACTTAAACAGCTGCCAGATGCCATCATTTTATCCTTGAGCAATTCCATCTGAAGGAGCAGAGTAAGAGAGGAGGCCTCAATTAACTATTGTTCACAGCCCCTAGAAGAGTAGATACCAGCTCGCTCTGCTTGATCCCAGATGCAAGACGAGTGTGTTAGCCCATTCTCATGCTGCCAATAAAGACATACTCAAGACTGGATAATTTATAAAGGAAAGAGGTTTAATTGAATCACAGTTCAGCATAGCTTGGAAGGCCTGAAGAAACTTACAATCATGGCAGAAGGCATCTCTTCACAGGCCGGCAGGAGAGAGAATGAGCACAAGCAGGGGGAAGTCCAGACACTTATAAAACCATCAGATCTTGTGAGACTCACTCACTATCACAAGAACAGCATGGAGGAAACTGCCCCCATGATCCCATTACCGCCACCTGGTCCCACTCGTGACATGTAAGGATTATGGGGATTATATTTCAAGATGAGATTTTATGTAGGCACACAGCCAAAGCATATGAACTAGCCATCTTCTTTTCTCCTTGCACATCTCCTCCTTCAGCCTGGAGGCTTGCAGGGTAGAACATGTTTGTTCCTGTTAATTTCCCTGAGCTCCTACGGATAAAGGTCCTGTGACAGCAGGGAAAATGATGCCAGCCTCTATGGAAGGCCTGGAATCATTGCTCGGAAGTGGCTTCTCTGCTCCCTCCTGCAGGCCTGGGCTGCAGGGTTGGATGCGTGAACAGCATCTTCATGTGCAAAGCTCAGGCTTATCTACAGTGGCAAGAGAGGGACTGTCCTTCCATACCCTGCATAAACTTTTGTTAAAACTTCCAAGCTTTCATTTTAATTATTTTCTTTTTATTCTTTTTTTCTTTTTTGGCCCTTTTGATGGCACCTATTTCGTATTTTTGCATTTTTTCCTTTCCTCCACAAATGTAACCAAAGCCAAAACTCAAGAGACAAGAGCCTGTGGGAGGAAAAGCCGGTTTATTTGAAGATCCAGTAAACCAAGAAGACAGTGGACTAGCATCCTAAAGTACATCTTGGCCAGGCACAGTGGCTCACACCTGTATTTCTAGCACTTTGGGAGCCTGACGGGGGCAGATTGCCTGAGCTCAGGAGTTCGAGGCCGGCCTGGGCAACAAGGCGAAACCACATCTCTACTAAAAATACAGAAAAAAATTAGCCAAGTATGGTGGCGCACAACTGTAGTCCCAGCTACTCAGGAGGCTGAGGCACAAGTATCTGGGAGGCGGAGGTTGTTGTGACCCAAAATTGCAACACTGCCTGGGTGATAGAGTGAGACTCTGTCTCAAAATAAATAAAGTACATCTTAAGTCACTACCAATTTTAGGCTCTTTGTACATTAAGGGCAGGGCGAAGAGGAGGGAGTTGGGATCAAGCAATAACCAGCAACCATACGCATCTGGGCACCAGCAAGGGTCTCAGGAAGTTGGGAACTTCTTTGTCCTTGGTGAGGTCACAAGGCACCTATAAATCTTTAGCACAACATAGTTAGTTGTTTACATACTTTTCCTTTAATCCTAGAGTTAGTTTTAAAAACCATATAAACTGCTAATTTTTGCATATTATCTCAGTGCTCTAAAATTATTCTAACCTACACACAGGTATTAGTAAATAAATGCCATTTCAACAAAAATAGAATTGGTTATGTTCGTTTGTTTGCTGTTTCACTGTTAAACAAATTGTTCCCAGAACAGTTGCTTCTCATATATATCTACAACAGTGCAGCCAAACTAGGCAGGCCTTTATGATTTTGAGGCCTCTCTCAGCTCCTAGTAAACTTCAAGCTCTATGACAAGGCCTGACAGGAGTCTCAAGCTCAGCTACAATTTCGTGGTTACCTATTAACTCACAGAGCCTGGAAAATTCAAGAATGTTACTGACAATTAAACCTGAACTGCTAGAGGTAAATCATGTGTTACTGGGCGGTAAATCAAATCTATGATTTCTGGTAAAGCTTCATAGCATATTTCTTTTCCATATCCTTTGTCTCTGCCATTCAATATAATCACTGTGGTATTATTTTTTTCTCTTGTTTTTAGGATTTAGAAATACCAGCAGTGTCCATACTCCGTAGCATGGTGCAAAAATTCCCAGATGTGTCATTCGGAATCAGCACTGATTCTGAGGTTCTGACCCACTACAACATCACTGGGAACACCATCTGCCTCTTTCGCCTGGTAAGTTGGATGGGTAGCTTGAACTTTCTCCCAGATTTTCATTGGGTTGTGGACTCATAAACTTGTGAGACTAGGAAGGACTCTATGTCTTTTACACTAATGATGGTACCAAATTCAGGGACATTGTTGACAAGGATGAAGACTCAATTCAAGCTTCCCAAGCAGGTACTGTAATGAAATGGAAAGAGGACAGGACTGAAAGCCAGGAAATGGAATTTTGGTACTGTTTTGTCGCTCAACAGCCATACGACTTCGGGCAGTCACTTAACATTTTTTATCTCCAATTCTTTCCCTTCTAAAATAAAAGAGTTAGACTGTATTATCTCTAAGGTCACTCTGAGCTCCAAAAATTTTATATTAAATATTTTGAGGAGTTCATTTTTGTCCTTCAAACATTTATTACTTCCCATATGCCCTGTGCAAGATACTGACAATAAAAACATATTAAACATATTCTCCAGTCTCATAGATCTTAAAGTATAGTAGGTATTGTAAACATAATATGCAAGTATCTATAATACAAAGTGAATCACTATGGGTAAAGTTTTATCACAGTTCAAAGGATAAAAGCAGTGTGGGAATTCTGAAAAAAAAAAAAAAGAAAAGAAAAAGACAACAGAATTGGAACTTAAAGGATAGATAAATTTAGACAAGGCAAATAATTCATGGCCAAGGGGGGAAAATCTCAGGAAACAATGAAGAGGCCAATCTGACCGGATCCCAGGGTACATATTGGGGAAAACGAATATCAGAGAGAGAAACTTGATTAAAATCATATTGTGGGGAAAATATAGAATACCACTTTAATGAGTTTGTCCTGAATCTGGTTGTCACTGGAAAGCCCCTAAAGCCTTTACATCAGGGAAGTAACACGAACAGGAACGTGTTGTATTAGATTATTTTGACAGCAAGGCAGAGGATGGATTCTCAGGTTAAAAGGCAAGAGAAGAGGGAGCTTTTGTTAGGCTAGCAAAATAGACCATGTGAGAAGTATTAAGAGTCTGTAGTAGAGAGGTAGCAATAGAAATTAAAGAGCAGGAAGATCCTGTGATCTTTAGATATCACAGTTATGGAAAAGAGGCAAAGCTTAAAGTCAGGGTGTCTAGGAATAGTGAGGTCATGTGCAGAAATGGGGATTTCTGATGCTTTCGTTGGTCGTTGAGTTCTACTTCTTGGTGGAACATCAAGATAAAGATGCCAAGAGTCCACTGAAAAAGAAAAATTGATGCAAAAGAAAGTTTTCAATATTTCAGGACTGAATGTCGTGCCCCTTCTAGTTGCCACCCTTTCTTTCTTTTTCATTTCTCACTGAAACTTCTTTTAAGCATATTTTTTACTGTCTTTTCCTAAGCTTGACACTACTATCTAGCTTATGTCCCATCACACCATTAAAACTACATTTATCCAGGTCTGCATGGCTTCCTTGTTTTACTCAACATTTCTGTCATGTTTGATGTTAGTGACAACTTCTTTCTTTTTAATGTTCTCTCTTTCCTTGGATTCTAGGAAATTACTTCTCCTGATCCTCCCGCTGCTTTTATAGTCTCTTTGAGATCTTCTCTTCCTGTATCTACAATGCTGCCTGACCCAACACTTTTTATCATCTAGGTCATGGAACCCATGCTCTGTGAAGGCAGAGACTGTTCTGTTCAGTGTATCCACGGAGCCTAGAACAGTGCCTGCTATGCTCATTAAGTATTTGTTGAGAATGAATATATGAATGAATCAATGAATGAATGAATATGTTTTTCTTAAGAAATACAATTCTTTTGCATATTCCACTATTATGTGCTTGCTGAGCATTTAGAATATTTTATTTCTAGTTTGGACTTCTCTCAAGATTCAAACGTTTGCTGGGTATAAGCATTTTTATACCCTCATAAGCACTATACACTTAAAATGTTCAAAACTGAATTTATTGTCTGCACCTGCTAATCATATTCCTCCATCTAAGATACTATTTTATTAAACGGCTATGCTCATTTGGTCTTACATTTTTGCCAGTTGTGTCTTCTATCTTGAATCTATATTCTCCTCCACTCCTTCTACCTCATTCTGTATTTAGGCTCTTAGCCTAAGCATAAGCAATTTCATTCGCTTCTTAACTGATCTCCTTTTACTACTTTATATACAATTTCTAGAATGGTATCACAATGATGTATTTAAGATAGAAAATTGACCATGGCACTCCTCTCTTTAAAACTCTTCAATATTTCTCATTTCTTAAAAAATCAAAAACGAGATATTTAATGTTACAAATAGGCTTTGCCGGCCTGCCCCACTGCCTGCTTCTCTAGTCCTTTTTCCATCCAGCTTCCACCCTGGGCTTTACCCTCTCAGTAGCCAACTATACACATAATTATCATCCATTTCCATGATTTTGCCTAGACTATTCCTTCTGTCTAGAATATCACCACCCACCAAGGGTCGCCTTTCACCTAGCCTCACCTGAATGACTCCTTCTCATACTCCAGTGAATCAGTTCAGGAATGTTACCCTTCAGGAAGCATCCCTGGAATCTCCAAATGAGCCTAAGCATTCCTCTGTATGTAATTCCCTATCTCTATTTTCATTTATCACTTTATAGTTCATATCAGTTATTTATATATCTGTCTCCTCTATTACCCTCTTAGGCCATGACCTATTCGAGGTTGGAAACTATGACTTATTCATCTTTGTATTCAAAGGGCTATAATATACCTCTGGCTCCTTGAAGGCACTTGGAAGGTGCTTGGGGAACTGAACTCACCTCCAAAAGCATCTCTGAGGTTGTGTGAGCTCCCTTCAGCAACCCCTTTCCCACCTGCACAGTGGTTGCTGGTTTGCATTCTCACCAGTGTGAAATAAGATTAAATCAAATTCTTCTGTGAAAAGCTTTGGTAAGGAATATACGGAAGGTTAGGCGAATGCCTTTCGTGTTGCCATTGAACCACTGGTAGAAATCCTTCAACACAAAAATTCTAATAAGCTACACTCCACAAGTACTTCTTTCTCAGATTTTTGTTCATGGGTCTTATAAAGGCCTGATTTGAAAGGCTTAGTACCACCAAGATACACATATGGGGAAGAAAAACAAGTGCTGTTGCTTTCATCATCTCTACAGACTTAACATCCTCTAATGGGAGCATTGGTGCTGCTTCCAGTTCATTCCTCATAAAGCCTCCTTGATGACTTCTCAGTTTTTCACTCTTCTTTAACATCTGTTTTTTGTTTACCACTAGTGACAGACCTACTCTAAATGAACTCTTGGGACCTCTGTGGGCAAGATTATTTATGTGCCATACCAGAAAACAAACAAACTGGTTCCTGCCCTACTTCATTGGCAGGGCTGGAAGAAGCTCAACTTCCGTCATGCCAGCTTTCAGATAAATATTTTTTTCACTGTTTACACTTTCAAAAGTTTAGTACATATTTTAATAGGACCATTATTCAAGAGTTTGGAGTAACTTTTTTTTTTGAAAAGGGAGCATCAACCAAGACAATCCTATTTTACACTGGGAAACGTGAACCTATTGAAAAATTTTCTGGGACATTCTTTCTTTTTAGATCCAGTTTGTTCGGTTTGATTGTTTGTTTTCAGAGCCTCATCTACGATAGGCACTATTACTATATTTGACCATTTAATGCACACAAGAATCTGATGAAGTAATTTTTATTATTCCTGCATTTTTAATAAGGAAAGTTCCATGAGAGATCGGTTTAGTTGCCCAAAATCTCACAACTGTGAAGTAACAGATGTCTGATTCGTACCCAGCATTGCTGACTACAAATCATACCCTTTTTACTATACTATAGTGGCTTTCTAAAGGACTTCACCCTGAAGAAAAATTTTGTTTTTACACTGAATTCTATCTAATGTCCCTCATTCTAAAACCTACTTTTTTTCTTTTAACTATTTTCTCTTAAATTATTCCTCTAGCCTCCTACCACTCCTTAATCAAACTGCAGAATTATTTGTCAAGATTTAATCTAGACATTATATATTGTCTAAATTTACAAAATTTTCCATTTTAAGAACATATTTAGAAGTAAGCCGAAATAATGATTAACTGAAAAAATGACAGTAAATTGATATTACTCTTGCTTGAAATGTTGGAGCAATAAAAGGCCAGCCAATGCTATATTTATGCAACATAACATTCTTCAAAAATAGTGCAGGCCAACTATATAAACGTAATCAGGAAGAGTTTAGGTAAAATTCATGAAACCATAATAAGTTGCATATAACAATCTTGCTGTTTGAGGGCACAGCCTGTCTTTTGTGAGTGTAACAGCAGAGAAACTCTCAAATTTTTCAATAGGACTCTTATTGTTGCCCTAGCAGAGATGGAATTTCCAGGTTAAATAAACTATGAGCTTGTTCTAAAACGGAATTTGAAATATTATTTGAATGTTTACCCTGCTTTGGATTTTTTTCAATCATTACTATTTTAAGAAACATAATTAACCTAACTTTGACCTAATGGGATGGTAATGAAAACACAGTGCAGTCATCCTTTATTCCTTTTACAGTTATTTATTGGGTGACTATGATAAGAAATACACCTCACCGGACAAAGAGAATCACAAGAAACTAGTCCATGAGATAAACTGATAAGAAATGGACAAAGAGAATCGCAAGAAACTAGTCCATGAGATAAACTGATAAGAAATGCAAGAAGATATGTCAGATTATGAAACTTTTTTTTTTTTTTTTTTTTTTTTTGAGACCGACAGTCGCCCAGGCTGGAGTGCTGTGGCGCCGTCTGGGCTCACTGCAAGCTCCGCCTCCCGGGTTTACGCCATTCTCCTGCCTCAGCCTCCTGAGTAGCTGGGATTACAGGCGCCCGCCACCGCGCCGGCTAATTTTGTTTTTGTATTTTTAGTAGAGACGGGGTTTCACCCTGTTAGCCAGGATGGTCTCAATCTCCTGACCTCGTGATCCGCCCGCCTCGGCCTCCCAAAGTGCTGGGATTACAGGCGTGAGCCACCGCGCCCGGTCAACATTTTTTATTTTATTC